GCCAAAACGGTCGCACGACTCAAAAATCAGCTCAAAATGGGCCAAAAATCGCACAGTGTAAGCCCAGCATAACCGAAAGCCCTCCATGATCCTGTATCTTTCAGGAGTATTAGAACAGTTGAGACACATTTTGTTTTTTTAAAACATCACATCTCCATGGCTTTTAATCCCCAAAACACCCTGTGCCAAAAATTGGTCCATCCCAAGGATCGGCTCCCCCAACACAGAGTAATAGAGTGTATGCTGTGAACCCTTTAAAGCCGGTCGGAGCGGGCACGCTCCATTTTGCACAACTATTTTTAAATCCCGGTAGCACTGCAACCATGTAAGATAGCACAATATTTTTTTTTTGCATATGAAACCGGAAGAGTTGTACTTACATCTTCTGCCATCAGCTTGTCCTAGGTTACAGTTTCCTTCCACATATAGCTTGGCAAAAACTGAATAAAAAGCACTTGCAGCAACAAAAACATAATATTCCAGAAACACACTTTGCCGATCCGATCAGCTGTTCATAACACTTCCTACGTCCATCAGCGTGAATTGATGTCCGCCATAACCTGCCCGAAACTGGAAGTGACGTCATTTTGCGGAAATTTAGTTTTTTACCATCGGGGTCTTATAAGCCTATACTTGTGTTTTTTAAAGTTATGTTTGATTTTATGACTTTCTGTGTTGTTTCTGGGATGCTTAGGACTCTTATTGCACTGCTGGAAAAAGTTTATTTTGATGCATATGCTGTTATTTTGCAAATTTGCATTATAATATTTATTTTCGTTTTTCCTCTAGTATATAAAAATTGGTGTATTTCAAAAATGAAACTATGAAGACACTAAAAATAAATTTCCTGTGGTGGGAAACTAGTTTGTGCAACTTTTTTGTAGTTACAATTTTGAGGGATAAGCCTCTTAAATTTCTGTAACTAGAAATATATGGAAAAAAACAAAAACGATTTTCAATTTTTTTGTAGTTTGTTGCACTTTTTTGCAATTTATGTAATTACTATGCACTTAATGCATACATATTAATAACATTTGGGCTATAATGGTTGTATTGATGTATATCAACTTGAAATGCTCCCAAAAATGGCACTACAGTATGTAAAAATATAATATAAGCTCTGGCGGACTTGGTTCTATGGTAGGTCTTAAAGGGTTAAGTGCCAGAGGATTTTCAGGATTTTTCTTATTTAATAGTTTTTATTTTTTACTACTTTCTACATTGTATATACATACTGAAGACATCAAATATATTAAGAAAGATATATGGACTGCCTCCCTATTCCCGCTCTACCACACCCACCCACACAAGCAGGGCTTGGGGTGCAGGTATGTCACCAGGGTGCAGGGGAGGCACTCCCCCTCTGTCCCCTTCTGGCCGCCTGTGCCTCAATTTTATTCTGCAACCTAGACATCCACATTACTCACACTCTCACATAATACATACATATAGGGCCTTGGGGGTGGGCACGTTTTACAGCATCCAGAGGATGGTCGGTGTATTCCAACCCACCTCTGGCGCTGGTGCCCTACCCTCAATTTTAAATACATATAGACACTAAGGGTTTTCGGGAGGAGCCGTGCCACTCTCTGAGAGGAAGCAGGAACCACGCTCTCCTGTGTTTTAAATGCACTTTAGAACAGCACACAGCAACACTACATATGAGCGGGCGTAGGGAGGTTTGGGGTCTTCACTAACCCCGGTTCTGTTAGCCGTCAGGGCTGGGAGGAGGTGCTGACTGTCAGATTGGGGTCTGGGATGCGGGGCCTCCCTGCTACTGCAGATAAGGAGGTGGTCCGCTTGCCTCCACCCCAGAGAGAAGGGATACATCGCCTGGGTCTAGGTGCAGCTTGCCCCTCTGGGGGCGGGGGTACCTGGACCTGGGATATAGAGTATGTTTGGGGAGTGTGACTGTCTGTGCACTGTCTATTTGTGTCTGTCTACACGTTGGGTGAGTGCCGAGTTGAGTATATGGGGGTGGGAATGAACGTTCATGTCCGCGTGCGCCTGTTCGTCTGTGTCAATATGTCAGGTTGGGTCTTAGACTCAACCTCTCTGGGTACATCTCAGGCCCTCCAAAGTACGGAGGCCTATCTCCCCTCACCACACTCCCTGCCGGTGGCTGATGCCCTTAGATGTTGGTGTGTTGGTGGTCCTTGTCGACTGGGGCTGGGCGCTCATGTATGTACCGGCTCACTCCTGGTGGCCGACTGGCAGGGCCTGGCGCCAGTGGCCCGGCTGGGCCCCTTCCGGGGGTGGGGTGCCCTCAGGCCTCTGGCATCTGGGCCTGAAGCTCGGTCCTCTCTGGCACAGCTGGCTGCCGGCAGAGCCCGCGGGCACGCCACTGCAACCCCCTCTGGCCTCTGCTCCGTAGCTGCTGGGTGACCTCTCGTTTGGGGCTCTACTCAGCTCTTCCCAGGAGGGTGCCACGGTTCCCCCACTTTGGTGGTCCTCCTCGGGTCCTTGTACTCTGGGGCCTGGATCTCCTTCATACTTGCTTCATGCCCTGGGGGACGGGGCTATGGCTCCCCACACTCCCTAGCAGATCGTTACATGGAGAAACGTTTGTTGTAATTTGGCGCTATATAAATAAAATTGAATTGAATTGAATTGAATTGAATTGAATATGCTTTTTACGGAGCCACTCCTTGGTTATCCTGGCTGTGTACTTCAGGTCATTGTCATGTTGGAAGACCCAGCCAGCTCTGACTGGTGCTCAAAATGTCACAATACATGGCCCCATTCATCCTGTCTGTAATACATTGCAGTCGTCCTGTCTCGTTCGCAGAAAGAAACCCCAAAGCATGATGTTTTCACCCCCATGCTTCACAGTAGAGATGGTGTTCTTGGGGTGGAGTGCTCAGGGCAGGAATCTCCTTAAGTGCTGCCTGCTGAGCCTCTGCCAGCCACCACAGTCCCTGAGTCAACCACTACTTCTTTCCTTGTGACTCATATGGGGATTCCACAAGGACTTGCTTAGAGACTGAACCATAGTGTTCTCTCCCCCCTGCCACTGCCAGACCTAGGATGCCACCTGGGGCCCGTTCTTCGTACGTCGCTTACTACATCCAAGATCAAATGACACATCCAAGACCGAATCATCGCGCTAACCGTGAGCTCGCTAATCCGGTTCTCCGAACACACCTGCTTTTGACGATTAGTACAGCTGGATGAAGTAATGTGAGATCAATGGGTGTCGTAAAAGGGGCTACGCATCGATAGTAGAAACATTGATCGGCAACCCTCTGATTGGTCGGCGAAAATGTTGAAGGAGAACGCTCGGTATTTTTCGGCAGCAGAGCAAGAACTCTTGAGTGAGGGATTTCAGGAGTTTCAGAGTTTAATCAGAACGCAAGGGAACACTGCAAAGGCTGCAAAAGCAAGGAGAGAGGGCTGGCAGAAAGTTGCTGACAAATTAAACTCGTAAGTGATTTAATAATAACAATAATAATGAAGTGGATTGATATAGCGCTTTTCAAGGCACCCAAAGCGCTTTACAATGCCACTATTCAGTCACTCTCACATTCACACACTGGTGGAGGCAAGCTACAGTTGTAGCCACAGCTGCCCTGGGGCAGACTGACAGAAGCCAGGCTGCCATATCGCGCCATTGGCCCCTCTGGCCAACACCAGTAGGCGGTAGGGTAGATCTATCATATGACACTATATTGTCTAATATTATATGGCATTATATTATATCATAATATGTTATATTATATCCCCTTTCACATTAGAGCCACAAAGGGACCCACACGAACATGGGAACAAGTAAAAGTGAAATACAGGAGTATTCTACAGAATGGTAATATTTATCTCTTATATTGCTTTTCGTCTCTTGGAAAGAGACCCTGAAATAATCTGTTTGTTTGTTCATAACAGCAACCAAGAAAAGGGCAGAGCAAAAAAAAGACAGGTGGTGGTCCTGCACCCCCTCGTCAACAAGTTGGTTAAGTAAATAATACCCTCACGGGAATATCGATATCTCTCAATGAGCACACTGTCGCGCTGAGCTAAAGGATCCTGTCTATCCCGCAATATACGCTGAATTCTGAGGACTCTCCTTATCAATCTTGCACCTTCCGCAATGGGTGGCTCGCGTATACGGACAGGACATGGCTGCGACAGGCTTCCCAAATCCACCTTCGCTTTTATAGCCGTGGTCTCTCATCTTGATTACACAAAGTAATTTGCAATTGCTACTCTGAAATATGAATTACATCTGTAATAATCACATACATGTAATAGAATGTTAATAGTACATTTCCCTTTTTTAGGAAATGACCTGTATGTATCTGTGTGAAATCAATAAATGGATCAGGTGCTGCATTATCTTTGGTTACATTGATGTTATTTATTTATGGTGAAACAGTGGTGGAATATCGCTGTTGCTTTTGTAAAAATGAAGCGGACATACCTGCGTGGCCGCGATCTAATCCTGTTTACATAAAGTAAACCTACTCCCGAGCAGGATTTTGCTTACGGCTCTGTTGCTATGGCAGCAAGTCCCGGATGAGCTTCGGGGAACCGAACGATCCAAGATCACACGAAATCGTCAACGATCTAATCCAGCTAACCTACTTAGCGAGGTACGAAGAACAGGCCCCTGGTTTGGACTATAGCCTCACTGTGCTTCCTCCTTGTTGTTAACCTGCATAGTGGTTGCTGCCTGGTCAGACAGGCTGGAGAGACTGAGCCATAGCAATCTCTCCTCTGCCATTGCCATCCCCATAACACAGCCACAACCGCCGTACTGCATCCCCAGAGAACCGGAAAACAAGATGCATAGCAATACTCTACTCTTTCCAAAATAATAGGACTGGGGGTATCCTTATCCAGCAGTGGCCCATGTCCTGAAACAGCTTATTCTAGTAGGCTAAGAACAGAGTGGCCACATTAAAATTTGCATAGGACTATGCTGTTGAACTGTAAATTAACTGTAATTTTAGAAATTTTGGAGGGTGTGAAATGGTCCATTTGAACTTTGTGCATTGTTACTACAGGAGTCTGCTAACACCCAGTTTGCGAATCCATAGTCACCCCCACCACCCCACCGCTGGCCTAGGACCCAAGCAATTACTTGCCATGAAGAGACATTCTGATGAAGAGAGGAACCCACAAAAGAACAAAAAAGGAAGAGGTAATACAGATGTAGATAGAATAAAGGTCACTGCAGCAGGCTAAGAAAATTTTGTCCCTTCTTCTGATAAAGCAGAACAATACATTGATGTGATTTTCTTTCTTTTTCAGAATGGAAAGAACAAGATCCAGTCAATCGACGTCATGGCCTGAAAAATCAAGGAGCCACATGTTATCTCAACAGTATTCTGCAGTTTCTCTTCATGAGACCTGAGATATATGATCTGTAAGAGATGCTGTTGGTGCTTTCATTTCACATCTGATGTCTAATATACCTAAAGAGAAAGAAACCCATTATTTATAAGCCATACTTCCTGACCTGATCTAGTGGCAGATTGTTTTTTTTTTAACTCACTCTTCTCATTATCTCTTCCTTTCCACATACACTTTAGACCAATCTGAAAAAAAATTGATCTGCTTCTATTCTTTGGGCAAACTTATAGACTATGTCAAGTACAAACTTTTAATCATTTATAATGTGAATGTGTTCTGTAAGTGAACGTATTCTATGAATTAAATATTCATATTGTTATTTTAGGAGAAAACCCCTTAGACTGTAGTCCTCAGTCTCTATGAATGTTGCCCATGGTCTCTTGTATGTGTGTATTTTGTAATTTTGTTATACTCCTTAGTATATGTGAACATACCTGTGAAACTGAAAGTACTTTTGAATTCTTGATTGGAAATAATCCATCAAAAAAAGAAAATCTAATTGCTCACAACTGACTTAATCAATTTCAAATCATATAAAATGTTAAAAATGTGGTAAATAGATGGCTTATAGTCACTATTAAGTGAGCAATGACTGTTTTCCTGAAGGTTGAATGAATCTTCTGAAACATCAGTTGAGCTGAGAAACCTCTTTGAAAAACTGAAGGATGAAGAATGTGGAACAGAAGGTATCACAACTGCTTTGGGGATTCAAGATGGTAAGTTGGTCAGTAGGTAAAATATAAATATTAAAGGTGAATTCACAAGAACATGGTGGCTTTTCTGAATGACATTTAAATATAATTTTCAGTCCATCAACAACATGATGCTGCTGACTGCCTGGAACAGATTTTACTTAAGGTCAACCAAGAAGTCTCTAAGGTGAGAAATCATACAATATTTATTCTGTCAAGAAATAAAATCAAGAAATCTGAATGCTTCTCTATGTATACTTTTGTGGTAAGACTTGTGAGGGGAATCTCACCTACAATACAACATGCTCTGAAGAACACATCATTAACAAAGAGGAAAATAATTTCTGGATTCTACCGCTGTCACTCAGAGATAACCATGATGAAACTTACAGTGTGGTAAGCAGCAGTCACTGTTCAGACTACACTACTGGCCTGACTATAGAGTCCTGCAGTGAAATAATGTCAGCTAAAGTTTGGTAAAAGGAAATATATGGATCTATCACCTGTAATCAACTGTTACCACTGTGTATTCTAATGTCCTTATCTGTGCACACAATGAAGTCAGTAGAATTTAGTTCCACTAACAGTTACTAGTCCTAATGTTCTAAAATGAACAGATTCAGACTCACATACTTGAGATATTCATTTATTTTTCTTTGTTTTGGTTTTTGTTTCATTATTTTTTACAGAAAAGGGGGTTTGAAAATGTTTTCAAAACCCAATCATACAATGAAGACATGGTGTATTGCGAAACATGTAAGAAGAAAGCAAAGGCAACGAGTGTGAGTAAACCCCAGGCTATCTGAGATTTACCCTGGTATCTCTCTTTATATTTATTTTTATTGGAGTGTATCAGTCAAACTCAACTGTAATCAGATTTCTTGTGGTTTTTAGCAATGTAAGATCACAAAGTTCCCTAGCATCTTAATTCTTCTTCTCAAGAGATTTGGGTTTGACTACAACAGCATGTCACATTTCAAATCAGACTGCTTTGTTGATGTGCCAGCTGAATTAAAAATAACGGTAAGGAGAAGTCACTTTAAAAACTGCTCTTATGTTTTTTGTTTTTAAATATATTCTTATATCTCACTCTGTGAATCGTTGTAGGACAAGAAGTACAAAGTGTATGGGATAGTGAATCACATGGGCAACCTATCAGGTGGACATTACACAGCCACTGTCCTATCGAAAGAGGACAACACCTGGTACTACTGTGATGACACACGTATAACAAAGGTGAAAATTTTAGATTAATTATGTTTCAATATTACAAGAGACACACAGACCTGTCACACCTATAAATTAAGCTAAAACACCTGAGTTTCCTAAAGTGTTCTCAGCCTGCTATAAATCTAGACAAAGAGGAGTAGCAATTTAAATACATAAAAATATTAATTTCAAAGTACTCAACACAGTTATAGATCCAAATGGTAGATTCCTAATCATTAAATTATCTATACTTAACAAAAAGCTACGTATTGTAAGTGTACATGGCCCAAATATTCCTCCACGTTTTTCTTTTTTTTGTTGTTTTTTTTTGTGCACTCTCTGAACACCTAGATTGCGCACTTGTCCTTGGGGGCAACTTCAACTTTGGACTAAAGGAAGAAATGGATAGATACAGCAGGAACTCACTGTAGTTGGAAGTCCACAAATATAATCAAACAGTTCATGAGCGACTTAGGTCTTTGTGACGCATGGCCCTCCCTTCACCCCAACCGCAAGGAATATACTTTATTCTCAGATGTCCATCACTCTCAGATGTCCTTTCCTAGTCAGCAGCTCACTGCTGAGTGACATTTCAGATACCAAGATGCACCCTATAGCTGTCAGTGATCATGCTCCTGTATCTTTAAAACTCATACATAAAAATAATATTCCGCCCAGTAAAAACTGGACATTGAACACATCACTGCTCAAAGATGAAAAATTTATTAAATATTCTTAAAAAGAGTGGACTTTACATTTAGACTATAATGACACTCCTGGAACATTGGCATCTGTTCTCTGGGAAACAGGGAAAGCTGTGATGAGAGGTAAAATAATTTCTTTCTCATCACATAAAAAGCAAAAGTAAAACAAAAACATTCAGGAGCTAGAAAAAAACCTATCAAATCCTTAGAAGAAGCCTACGTGTCCCACCAAATGAAATTGTTCATTTACAAAACTAAATTCTTAGTACAAAAACTTGCTTGCAAAATTTTGAACATGGTAACATATCTGGCTGATTCTTAGCTAACCAGCTAAAAAGAAAAACAAATAAAAAAAACAACTATATGTGCTGTTAAAGACTTTTCTGGGAACACAATATATGACCCTGAAAGAATACAGGGAGTGCAGAATTATTAGGCAAGTTGTATTTTTGAGGAATAATGTTATTATTGAACAACAACCATGTTCTCAATGAACCCAAAAAACTCATTAATATCAAAGCTGAATGTTTTTGGAAGTAGTTTTTAGTTTGTTTTTAGTTTTAGCTATTTTAGGGGGATATCTGTGTGTGCAGGTGACTATTACTGTGCAGAATTATTAGGCAATGTTAAGGTTCAAAATTGAGGAGGGAGAGTACAAACCACTCTTGGTCCAGAAGCTCTTGGTCAAACAATGATTTTAATGAACACACGTGTGGGAAGACACTCTGTACGCAGACAGCCAGTAGTCCTCGACTTAATCAAAGCATGAACAGATATTTTATAGCATCAGGGTTTGATTTACTGACGCCCCTTCATGCGTCACAGATACATTTTATACATAGATCAGACTTTTAACCCAGAAGATCATCTTCTATTTTCATGGCTGGTACTTTCCGTTCTTGTCTTAAAGTGAATTGTTCCTCTTTCTTGCCGAGACATGACTAATCTCTCCTCTAAATAAATCTAACTCATGTGTGTGTGTGTTGACCTCACATGCTCTTTCTCAATTCACCTGTTGCACTTCTGACCTTTCACCAGGACAGAGGCTCACTGAGACTATGTGTATGTCTTCTACTAAATAAATGTTTTAACCAAGAACCTCTACTAAAACCTTAATATAAAATGATCTGATATATAAGTGTTTTGTAAGCATGTATTGCAATTCCTTCTATGGCTCCAAGTCACTTGCACAATAGATTGTCCGAACATCGCGCCGAACAAAGCTTCCGACCCCCAATTAATTGACCGAGCTCCAACTCTTTAATAAGCACAGATATGCATTGTGTATAAAATAGTCATAACTGCTTAAGGCCTTCTTAAAGCTATCTGTTACATTGTTAAAGCAATGATCATTTTGAATAACCTAGTAATTCAAATGGCCTCGTCTGGCCTGCTCCTCAAAATAACTATCTGCTTTCACTTCTGCATACAACTTCCTGTCAGCCTGCAACTCAGTCTTTCTGAAAGAGACACTGTTTAAACCTCTGAATGCAATATCCATGCTGCAGATTATATTCTTAATGCAATGGTACTGATGACAATTATTTAACAATAGCGGTAAAATAATTTCCCTGCTCCACACTCCCTCTCTCGACCTCTGGAACACCAGAGGTCACAATACATTGTGTCCTCGCTCAGACCCTCTCTGGTGGTTTAGCAGGCCTCGAGATCTCCAGGATCCTCGCCCCTCCTGTGGTCGCTGAGATCTTCTGCAAAGGAAACAAAACACCTTTTCCTGCACCTCCCTAACTTATCCTATCTGGGACTCTTTAATCAAAAGCCTGATCCTAATTATCTTCTTAACTTATTGACTTGTATTTATATATATTCTTCAACGTTACTCATCACCTTAAAACTCTTTAAGCCCTGCTTTCACGTCCGGTTGCTCGCTCTATTTTTCCCTTATCTGATCATCAACATCCTGTGCACAAATTGTCGCTGCTGCAAGTTCCTCTACTCTAAAAGATCCAAAAGAAAACAACCACTTTAATCAATTCAGTTTAAGCATATAAGCAATTACTCCTGTATACATTTCATCATAGCTAAATGCTGCCTTGAAACAACTCCTATGTGTTAACTTCATTTTAACCTCACATTTCCTATGTTATAACCCGTTTTGGTATAGCCTTTTTATTTCATTTTACTCCTTTAATGTAACAATACCTTCTAATTCTAATTTATCAGACTTAACCAAAATATATGCTTTCCTTCCTCTTTGGTCCTTCTTTAAGTTCAGTTAAAAGCTAAATGAATTTGAGGCCTTTTGCCCGGAATCAATACTGTCATGTGTGTTTCTTAACTCTGTGTCTGTAAACGTGCAATCCTTCAATAACTTCAATAACTCATCTCAAAAAATGCAATATGTATAAAAATCATTTCTATTTATAAGCTCTCCCCTTTATCCTAAAAATACCTCCTATGTAATATCTGTATGTGTAAGCCTACATTATAACCACTTCTTCTAGAAATCAAAAAGAAATCAAACCTGTTCTACTCCTTCAACCCTCACTAATTTTCCCTCTAAGAATTATTCACAGCTTTGAAAAACCGGCATTGTATCTTCTAAACAGGATTCAGTTCTGTCATGGTCCTGGGCCATGTTGGCCCAGGTTTTCTGAGGTGTCCTGTTGTGGTGTTCCCTAAGTGTTTTTTCCCTTTGTGACTCTTACCCCCTTGTGCCCCTCTGTGTATTTATGAGCTCTCGTCTCTCTTTGTGTTTATTCCATGTTTCCCCCAGCCTGTTATGTCTGTGTTCTCCCCGTGCTCTCTCTCCTCCTGTCTGAACCTCTGTGTACTTCCTGTTTTACTTTGACAGTCTCTCGTCAGTATGCGTAATGTTGTCTTCACTCCTGCCCTGTCTCGTTATGTTTATCAGTGTCACCTGTGTTCCCCACCTGTGTGTAATCTCCCTGTGTTCTCTGGGTGTATTTCCCCGAACCTCCCTGCATCCTCGTTTCTGGTTTGTGTTATTAGCTTACCCAGTTTAGGTTTCCGGTTTCTTGTTTTTCCACCAGTGCTGTTTTGTGCCCACCGTTGTAAATAAATATTCACCTGCACCAGAGCTGCCGCCTTTTGGGTCCTTTTCTACAACTCCACACGGCTTGCCCCGCAAACCGTGACAAGTTCACTTTAATCCTTTAACCTTAACTTAAAAATAACAGTTTCAGTTTTACCATATCCAAATGATCAAAAACCCCAAAAGTCCTAAAATGATCCTAAATTATTAAACAATTAAATTATTAAACCCTAAACCCCCCTTTATCTTGATACATTTCATGTGTCAAGATACTATACAAAACTTAAAAATGCTCAGTTTTCCCCACTCATGATCCAATCTATGTCATAAAAATAAACTTAAAACAGAACAGTTATCAGTCATGTGTTTCTACAATTAATGGTAACTGAGTTACATCAAAAATATTTCCCCTTTAGCATTTGGCCTTCTCCCAACAATATACTATAATCCCATAATCTAACCCCAGTCAACAAAACAAAACAGAAACTTTCTCTGGTAAAAGCAAATTGTTTGTCCACATTTATTCATCCTCACATTCACTCACACATTCACTCCATATTTTTGCTAATAGTGGAGCTTCCCGCGTCAGATTCTCCACCCTCAGCAAAATGAGCTCAGTCATTTTTTTATTTTCCATAGGAAAATATTTCTTTATGCTTTTGGACTGGATTGACTCGCATAAAATCCTTTTTACAGGGACTTACGACCTGAATTGTCCCCAGGTAGCTTTTTCCTCAGCCAATTGTAATCTGGAAAGCCGCCTTATATTTGCTCTTCCCGAGAATTTTCAGCGCCGTTATTCACTGTTGCAGGCCTGCTTAAAACAGAAATGAAAAAATAGAGCTGATTATTAGCTCATGAGAACACAAAACAAAATCACCTGACAGGTTTTCTTTAAGTGCACTGTTACAAAATAATGGGCCCAATTTTTAGACATGTCCATGTTTCCTAAAACTCCCTCTATTAAAAACAAAAACAACCCAAACCTAACTGACAGAATCAACCCATCTCCACAACAACCTCAAAAATCTTAAACACAAAAGTTTTGCCACCACATAATTTCACCTCCTCAATACACCGAAAGTCTCATTGAAACCACACAATTTGCACACAAAAATCACCCCCTTATGCTCTGTAACATACTTACATTCAGCATAAGACCCCCTTACAACAACATATCACTAAACTATAAATTCCCTACCCCAATCTGCACTTCTCGTCTCTGCTATGCTTCCTCTTCCTGAAAGTCACAGTCACACACACACTCAGGAAGTTCCTTCGTCACCACTCACTCCAGCTAATTTGCA